TTTTTGGGTCATATCTTATTTGAAAATGGAATATCTATAGACCCAACTAAAGTACAAGAGGTCATGGATTGGAAGGCCCCGACTTTGGTTCATGAAGTTCGGAGTTTTCTAGGGTTAGCAGGGTACTATCGTCGTTTCATTCCTGACTTTTCCAAAATAGCTAAGCCCATGACCAGACTACTCTAGAAGGATGAAAAGTTCAATTGGACTCCGGAGTGTGAAGCTGCTTTTCACACTTTGCAAATCTTGCTAACTATAGCTCCTGTTTTAGCACAACCCTACATTGAGAAGCCTTTCGATTTGTTCTGTGATGCATCAGGTACAGGTTTGGGGTGTGTGCTCATGCAAGAAGGTCGAGTTATTGCCTATGCTTCCTGACAATTGCGAAAGCATGAAGTCAACTACCCTACACATGATTTGGAGCTTGCAGCAGTTGTTCATGCCTTGAAGATATGAAGACATTACTTGTTGGGAAATGTATGTCACATATACACTGATCACAAGAGTCTCAAATATATCTTTACTCAACCTGAGCTAAACATGAGGCAACGTTGATGGTTATAGCTGATCAAGGACTATAATTTGGAAGTGCACTACCATCCAGGAAAAGCCAATGTTGTAGCAGATGCCTTGAGCCGAAAGTACCATTACAATTCTCTGTTGGAGGATGGGTTTAATCTGTTACATCCTGTGGTGCTGCATAATATCACTATCAGTTGTTCACTTGAAAGCAAAATCATCGAACTACAGAAGACAGATGTGGGTGTATTTCATATCAAGAGAAAGATGAAAGGACAGAAGACCGAACATTTTAGGTTGGATGAAAGAGATGTGATATGGTTCAAGGACCGACTTGTGTTACCGAAAAACCGTGAACTTAGAAATCAAATTTTAGATGAAGCTCATTCATCCAAGTTGTCTATCCATCCGGGCAGTAGTAAAATATATCAAGATTTAAAAAAAAATTTTTGGTGGACCAAGATGAAGAAGGAAATTACAGCCTACGTTGCTAGGTGTGATGTCTGTAGCCGAGTGAAGGCAGATCATCTGAAACCTGGTGGATAGCTCCAGCCGTTGTCCATTCCAGGCTGGAAATGGGAGGAAATAAGTATGGACTTTATTACAGGCCTCCCGCAGACACAACGAGGTCACAATTCCATATGGGTCATTGTAGATCGCCTCACCAAGTCAGCACATTTTGTACCGGTTAACACAATGTATTACGCTGGGAAGTACACTGAGATATATGTTTTTGAAATTGTGAGGCTACATGGAGTACCAAGGACCATAATCTCATATCGCGGACTACAATTTATAGCTCATTTTTTGGAACACTTGCACAAGGCCATGGGAACCAAACTAATCAGAAGTTCAGCATACCATCCACAAACTTCTGAACAAATCAAACGAGTGAACCAAATCTTAGAAGATATGTTGAGAGCTTGTGTTATATCCTCCAAGGGTTAATGGGAAAAAAGGCTGTCTTTAGCCGAGTTCTCCTATAACAACAGTTATCAAGAAAGCATCCAGATGGCTCCTTTTGAGGCCTTGTATGGTTGCAAATGCAGAACTTCTTTGAATTGGATTGAGCCCGGAGAAAGGAGGTACTATGGCATAGATTTTGTCACAGAAGATGAAGAACAAGTACGTGTTATCCAACAACACATGAAAGTAGCTCAGTCAAGACAAAAGAGTTATGCTGATAAAAGGAGAAAACCACTAACCTTTGAAGTGGGAGACTATGTGTACTTAAAAGTCTCACCCATGAAGGGAGTGCAAAGATTCGGAGTGAAAAGGAAGCTTGCGCCTAGATATGTAGGCCCGTACTAGATTATTGAGTGAAAGGGAAATGTCGCCTACAAGCTACAACTTTCCCCAGAAATGAGTGTTATATTCAATGTCTTCCATGTTTCTCAGTTAAAAAGATGTCTTCCCATACCTGAGGAAGCTATTGCACCCACCAACATTAAGCTCCAATCGGATTTGACCTATGAAGAGAAACTAATCCGAGTGCTAAAAGAAATGGAAAGAGTAACCCGGAGCAAGGTCATTAAGTTCTACAAGGTGGTGTGGAATAACCACAATGAACAAGATGCCACGTGGGAACAGAAGGATTATTTACGTGAGGTTTATCCCACTTTTTACGAAAAATGGTAGGTCTTTCAAATCTTGGGACGAGATTTCTATAAGGGGGAGGGGCTGTAACACCCCAGTGTTAAGCATGGCATTTGGCACTTGCATTTCATGAGCACAAGCATCATCCAAGCATTCATGAACATGAGCATATGAAATTTCATCTCATTCTTATACATTATCGCATGAAATGTTGATTATATATATATGCTTATGCTTGTAATCATGTATGACCAATGTATGAAATGGTTATAAGGTCACAACAATACCTTAGAAACATCTAGGATGGTAAATGGAACAACTTTTGTATTCATAACATGAACCAATTTTGCTTCTAAGTGTTGGGTTACCTTGGAATGCCATTTTTATGATGCCAGTTTGACCAAAGTTGAACAGTAGCTTAAATTGTTTGCATGGCTGTGTGACCTAAATAAAAGTTGTAGTTCACATCAATGGTAACAAATTTTATTTAAGGGTCATGAGTTAACTCAGTGCCTAACTTAGTCAAATAGAGCTCACAAGTTTTAACTTAATGTTGTTTGTAACTTAGAAATTTTTTCTAAGTGTGGAACTGGTTTTCAGTTTCAAAGTAGTCTACTTTGGAGCATTGTGGTTTGAAAACCAGCTGGAATTAGACCATGCTCCTTAAAGAAAAGTTGTAGTACTCACATAGCTCTACTAATTCTATTAACAAAGTTCGCACTGATTCGAAACGGATTAGGAGTTACAGGTGCGTGAAGTCACGCTGTCAGTCAGCCTGATGGCCGAATTTGAGCGGAGCGCCGCGCGCCGTCGTGGCCGACCGGCACCAGGCCGCGTCCGCCGGCGATGGACCCACTGGTCAGGCTAGAGTGGGTAGAAAAGGGCACCGCGTCACGCTCGCTCACTCTCTCGCGCTCACTCTCTCTGCCTCGCCTCGCTCTCGCTCTCGCCGCGCCCGACCTCCGCCGTGCTCACGCGCCACCGCCGCCGCGTCATCGCTCGATTCCTCGCACCCACACCTCCGCCGTACCTTGCTCCACCTCACCGACCCGCCATTGCCTTAGCTCGAACCAAGGTAAAGGCCTACAGGCCGTCGCCGTCGCCGCCATAGCCGTTGTGCGCCGCCGAGCTCCAAGCTCGCCCGTGGCCAGCCCTATCCACCGCAGCTCGTACCTTCTTCTCCGTTGGTCCGTCGTCGCCTTAGGTCGTAGGTGGTCGCGTCGTAGCCTAGTTCACCATTACCGCCACCGTCTCGCGGGAACGTGCGACTGCACCGCGTGCACCCGCCATGGCTGCGAGCTCTAGCTCGCCGTGGCCGACCTTAGCTAGACCCCGTAGTTCCCCTCTAGCACCTGTTTCCGCACCTCCACTAACCCTAGCACCATGACCGAAGATGGAGACTCGTCACCCATCACTGGCTCGCCGGAACGGCGATACCACCGCCATGCTCTGTGCGCCGCCGCGCCGCCATGCACGCGGCCAAGCTTCACCGCCGCTCCACCGTCGCCCTAACCTAACCCTAGAGCTCCGCTAGGACCTGCTATCTCCATGGTTGGTGCAAGAGGGACAATAGGTTATATTGCCCCAGAGGTTTTACTCAAAGCAATTTGGAATAGTAAGTAGCAAGTCAGATGCCTATAGTTATCGAATGATGGTCCTTGAGATGGTTGGAGCAAGGGACAAGAATACAAGTGCAAATAGTGAATCTAGTAGCCAATATTTCCCACAGTGGATTTATGAACATTTGGATGACTACTGTATCAGTGCTTCTTAGATTAATGGCGAGACCACAGAACTCGTGAGAAAGATGATAGTTGTAGGTTTGTTGGTGCATACAAGTGATTCCAACTGATAGTCGTCGAGATGCTGGAAGGGAGCACAAGTAATCTGGAATTGCCACCAAAAGTTCTCTTGAGCTGTCAAGCATAGATATTTCCCTACTAATAAATGTTGCTAGCGTTACCAGGTTGTACAAATGCAAATATTTATTATATAGTATGCAGAACTACATAGGAATTTCTGGAGAGGGGTGCTCGTAGCCTCATACGACACAGGATGATGGTATTAGAGTACTTTGTTCATACTTCAGACTAGCTGCAAGCACTGATTCTCTTCTGTGTACATGTACACTAAGATCACTGGACAGATGCATTACAAATTCAGTAGGTGGTCCGGGTTTAAAATTTAATCGCGATGGAATACAGTACACAAATTTAAATAGCGATTAAACTCTTCATTACAATTCAGATCAGAATCGCGACGCCCAATTCCTGAAAATACTTGAACTGAGGACTAGAGATGATCAGTAGGCATTAAGAGTCGGAGCTTATCGAAGTCAGAGTGCTCAACCGATGTGGTCATAGCTGAGATTTCAGCTGTCCGCACTCATAAGTGACCGTCGGCCATAGCGGTTCCGCCGCCTGCGTGCATGTTTGCCTCCACTCCGCTCCCCGGCCGCCCGGGTAGCTTCCTAACAGATGACCGCGTTCCGTGTCTCCAGAGCCAACTAATTTCCACAGGCACAAAAGTCCGAACTTCGAAGGAAGCGATCGACCCAGACTTCCACTGTGTGACAAAAGTCCCTCCACTGGACGTGGAAATTTTTCTATCACGACTGACTTCGCAAGTCCTGTAAAGATTGACAATGATTAACGGGGACTCTTGCGGTGACGAGTTACCGTGTTAGGATATTTTGCAGGACAGCGCGTATCTTGACTTCCGACTAGAGTTCGATCCATTTTCGACGGAGCTTTCTGTCACCGCGAACATTAACCCAGCAGATACGTTTATGAACCAAGACGATTTGCCTGCACTACAAGACCAAGTGCTGAGTGGACCAGTCTACGGAGTACTATTCCTATTCTACGTTCAAACCAAACCTTTTCATGGGTAGCTCTGGCACGGTTGTGCTGACCAAACTTCTTCTGAGCACTTACAACGTCTCTATGTGCTCGGAATCGTTCTGGTGCAGCAGCGTCGAAATCCACTACCCGTTCTACCTTGCCAACGCAAGCGAAGCAATCGCCGATTACAGCGGGAACATCTTCTCCTGCGGCTACACCGACTTGAGCATTTCCTGCAAACTCGAAGGGCAGACCTGGATCCCTACCATCCGTCTCGATGGCGGCGACTACACCGTCGAGAACATATCCTACCACTACGACCATCAAACCATCCTACTGGTGGACAGCGATGTGCTCGGAGGCGCAGGCGGTGACTGCCCTGCTGTCTGCCATGAAGTCAGCTTCGATGAGACATGGCTGCATAGCAGCAGCTACAACGACAACCTCACCTTCCTCTTCGGCTGCGACCCACGCGGTCCCGTGCCGCCTGAATTCGACGCATACAAAATCAACTGCACGCAGTTCAAGAGTACGCCAGGTGCTGGCCCAGGAGACTCTTCGTGGTCATTATGACTGATGAGCATGACAGGTATCTGGAGCAAGAATTGGCTACGAAGTGCGGCAACACCATGGTTGTCACCGTGCCAGTGAGAGGCGATGTTCTGATGGCAGCAAGTTATAACAAGAGCAACTTCACAAGCGGCGGATACGGGGGCGTGCTTAAGCGTGGGTTCGAGTTGGAATGGAGCCGTATCACAGCCACAGAGGATGGGTGTCACCTGTGCGAGGCGTCGACCGAAAGATTTATTTCCGTCTTAAAAACAAAAAATCTGCTCCGTCTGCACAGCCAGCCATTCCGTCGGACTTCCGATACCACGCCTGTGTGTCTTTCTATTGAGGTTTCGCTTCGCTTCACACTAAAATGAGTTTTAGGATTAGGTTTCCTATTGACAAAACAAAAAAATGAAGGACTCAAAGCTCTTAAATTTTAAGAAGAATAGAAGACAATATGGGTTTTGCATAGGCCACCATGAATGAATCTAGTAAATTTATAGGCTCTCATCACCAGCCCATTAAGAATCCACTACTAGGTCAAGCTTTCATCATTTCGCCAATCAAGTGACTTGGCACTGAGAACATCCGTTGAACCGGCATGCCATTGTTTGGATTAGAGGAATTTCACAGGAATTTCAAAGGAATTCAATTCCTATGTTTTGCTTACATCACATGGTGTTTGGAATGGAGGAATGAAGTTTTCTTTTCCTTGCTTTCCTTCGTGAAATGGAGGAAATAAAACTTCAACTCTAAGCTCTTGGAAATTTTTCCTACATGTGAATGGAGAGATGAGCAGGCCCATGGAGGAATAAACATGTTCTTGTATTCCTTGTGTTCCAAACACCTATTCCTATAAAATTCCTGTGTTTTTTCAATCCTCTTTTTTCTACCTACACTCGTTTTCTATTCCTGTGTTTTCTTCATTTCCTCTGTTTTTCATTCCTCCGTTCCAAACAAGCCCTATAGAATAGATTTCCACCACTGCAAGGAACCTCAATTATGAAGTAAATTGTTCTCAATGAGCATATAGCCGATTCCAAGGTAAAATTAAGTAAAACTTGTGGGCCCACTTGTCTCATTAAGTACTCCCTCTTTCTAAAAAGAAGAAAAATGTCGCTTGCCGCTGAGTCAGACAAATTCAAATTTGACAAAATATATATATGGTCTGCTCAGTTGTGGCGGCTGTTGCAATTTATTTTCTACTACACACAACAGTCGGTGTAGGTAAGGTTGCTGCAATAGCAGTCACAGCACTGTTACATCAAGATGTTCCGATCATGCTGATATAAAAAAAACTATTTATGATGCATGATAAGAGTGTATTTGAAAGGGCTCCTCCCGGCGGAGCCGTTTTAGATGAATCATAATTTATGGCTCCTTCAAAATAGCTCCAGCTCCTATCACTACCTGGAAAACGGTTTGTAGCAACGGGACAATTTTTTTTTAGGGGCGGCTGGTGATAGAGCCGCCCCTACAGTGGCGTGCTCGGGAGCCCAGAGACCAACCGTCCCTACAAATGGAACAGCAGGTGCGGCTAGTGATACGAGCCGCGCCTACAAATGGGTCTGATTTGTAGAGGCGGCTCACTCACCAGCCGCTCCCGGTGTTTCTATTTGTAGGGGCGGCTGGTGATTGAACCGCCCCTACAAATGCCGGAGTATAATTACCTGCCATTCATAGGGGCGGCTTAATCACCAGCCGTCCCTACAAATGACCCACATATAAAAAAACCTGCAGCACTTTCTTCCTCCTCGGGACACTCACTCCAACCCGTGAAAGAAAGGTAGGGAGGTCTTGGGCACCTCCCAAAAATTGCTCTACTAAGGGGGGAAGATTTTGGTCTCAAATCCTTTGGTGGAGAGGTTGTAGAAGTTAAAAAGAATGCTATTCCACACTTTTTTTGAAGTTTTAATGGTTGGTTAGTGAGTAATTAGAGTTTTATTTTTCTCTCTCTTCTATGGTGCTTGAGCTACTTATGAATCAAATTAGACCCAAGTTTTGAATGTACTAGGGTAAATTAGGTAGGGGAACAAGATCATACCCTTATTTGGTCCATGTTTCTTGATTTTAGTGAACAATTAGTTAGTTTTATGGATGTTTCATGTGCATGTAAATCTAGATCTAGGGTTTGGTTTTTTTATTAATTTTGTTTTTGTAAATTTGTGTTTGATGAAATTTGACTAGGGTTTGCATGAAAGATATTGGGTAAAATATAATTGTTGCTAATTGTTGTCTTTGAAATTGTTTATTGTAATCAACAAATATGTATTTTAATTATTTATGGATAAATGGGCCATTAATTAATTTTCCTCTACCATGGTGTGTTTGTATGCTTCATGTAATTATATTTGATTTATATTCATATATATCTGAAGTATATACAATTATTCTCAAGTAATTACTAATTTGATTCATTTTTATATATATCTGAATAAGTACTCCTTTAATGTTCGTTTTGTTGTTGTTGTTGTAAAAGATGGAGTACAGGAACTTTTGGATGTATGGTTCGTTAAGGTTCAAGGCAGGTTTCCGTGAAGAGGTGGATAAATTTATTGAAGCCGCAAAGAAGCATGCAACGATATTGACAGAGAATAAGGATACAATTATTTATCCCTGTAAAGATTGCAAGAACCGTATGTCATGGACAGATGTGACTATCATCATATCACATTTAATTATGTAAGGATTTGTTGAGGACTACACAATGTGGATTCTTCGTGGTGAAACGGTTATTGTTGACGACGAGGATGAGGACCACATAACATCCTATTATATTAGGATTTCTGTCCTAAGATCTCTGACTTTGGATTAGCCAAGCTATGCCTTAATAAAGAGAGTGCTGTCTCCATTGTTGGTGCAAGAGGGACAATAGGTTATATTGCTCCAGAGGTTTACTCAAAGCAATTTGGAATAGAAAGTAGCAAGTCAGATGTCTATAGTTATGGAATGATGGTCCTTGAGATGGTTGGAGCAAGGGACAAGAATACAAGTGCAAATAGTGAATCTAGTAGCCAATATTTCCCACAGTAGATTTATGAACATTTGGATGACTACTGTATCAGTTCTTCTTAGATTAATGGCGAGACCACAGAGCTCGTGAGAAAGATGATAGTTGTAGGTTTGTGGTGCATACAAGTGATTCCAACTGATAGTCGTTGAGATGCTGGAAGGGAGCACAAGTAATCTGGAATTGCCACCCAAAGTTCTCTTGAGCTGTCAAGCATAGATATTTTCCTACTAATAAATGTTGCTAGCGTTACCAGGTTGTACAAATGCAAATATTTGTTATATAGTATGCAGAACTACATAGGAATTTCTGGAGAGGGGTGCTCGTAGCCTCATACGACACAGTATGATGGTATTAGAGTACTTCGTTCATACTTCAGACTAGCTGCAATCACTGATTCTCTTCTGTGTACATGTACACTAAGATCACTGGACAGATGCATTACAAATTCAGTAGGTGGTCCGGGTTTAAAATTTAATCGCGATGGAATACAGTACACAAATTTAAATAGCGATTAAACTCTTCACTACAATTCAGATCAGAATCGCGACGCCCAATTCCTGAAAATACTTGAACTGAGGACTAGAGATGATCAGTAGGCATTAAGAGTCGGAGCTTATCGAAGTCAGAGTGCTCAACCGATGTGGTCATAGCTGAGATTTCAGCTGTCCGCACTCATAAGTGACCGTCGGCCATAGCGGTTCCGCCGCCTGCGTGCATGTTTGCCTCCACCCCGCTCCCCGGCCGCCCGGGTAGCTTCCTAACAGATGACCGCGTTCCGTGTCTCCAGAGCCAACTAATTTCCACAGGCACAAAAGTCCGAACTTCGAAGGAAGCGATCGACCCAGACTTCCACTGTGTGACAAAAGTCCCTCCACTGGACGTGGAAATTTTTCTATCACGACTGACTTCGCAAGTCCTGTAAAGATTGACAATGATTAACGGGGACTCTTGCGGTGACGAGTTACCGTGTTAGGATATTTTGCAGGACAGCGCGTATCTTGACTTCCGACTAGAGTTCGATCCATTTTCGACGGAGCTTTCTGTCACCGCGAACATTAACCCAGCAGATACGTTTATGAACCAAGACGATTTGCCTGCACTACAAGACCAAGTGCTGAGTGGACCAGTCTACGGAGTACTGTTCCTATTCTATGTTCAAACCAAACCTTTTCATGGGTAGCTCTGGTACGGTTGTGCTGACCAAACTTCTTCCAATTCCACTTAGAGCCCGTTTGGATCCTTAGAATTGAATTCATTCTAATCATTATAATTTAGGCATAAATTAATTAAGCCAATATAGTTATATATGAAATATATTTGTATATTTATTGTTAGGCATACAAGAAACATACTTATATGTGGCATTTCTACTATAGAAATGTGAGTTGAAGAGCGTGCTATAAGTTGGATAATATAATTATAGTATAGTGATCTATAGAATCTATTTCCATGCCACACCATATGAATTTGAGATAGTCTTATTTGTGAGTTTGGAAATGCTATGGAATGTCAAATTCAAGCCAAATAGCCTAATCTATTACATATATTTCAATTCCTCCAAAATAAAAGGATCCAAGCGTGTAACACCCCAGTGTTAAGCATGGCATTTGGCATTTGTATTTCATGAGCACAAGCATCATCCAAGCATTCATGAACATGAGCATATGAAATTTCATCTCATTCTTATACATTATCGCATGAAATATTGATTATATATATGCTTATGCTTGTAATCATGTATGACCAATATATGAAATGGTTGTAAGGTCACAACAATACCTTAGATACATTTAGGATGGTAAATGGAACAACTTTTGTATTCATGACATGAACCAATTTTGCTTCTAAGTGTTGGGTTACCTTGGAATACTATTTTCATGATGCTAGTTTGACCAAAGTTAAACAGTAGCTTAGAGTTTTTGCATGGCTATGTGCCTAAATAAAAGTTGTAGTTCACATCAAAGGTAACAAACTTTATTTAAGGGTCGTGAGCTAACTCAGTGCCTAA